GGGCGTGAATTTCACCGCATGCACCACCGAGGTTCTTGTCGTTGTAGAAGGCCTGCCATAGGGCTAGCAAAGACTTGGGTCCGGGTTTTGTGCCCGCGTCGATCAGAATGCAGATCTCAGGATTCAAAATGCGCCCAAATGCATTGAATAACCACCGATGTGAGTTGATCTTTTTAGTATTCTTTTTCTTAAGGCAAAACATCATCTGTACCGGGGGCAGGTTCATAGGGTCGTCTTTATACGGGCGCACAAGCTCTTGCTTCGGGGTAACCGACAACTGTGTGGTATATTCAAACTAGGCAGCATTAGCATTGGAATATTTCCCTGGGTATTGGAGTTCAGAAGGGCTGAAGGTGGGAAAACAAACAATATGAGCGATCGTTTCTTTTCCATCCACGTCTTGCTTCATCACGCCATCTTGAAAAACGCCAATAGTTGCAAGAACGTCAAGTGTATTTTTATCGCAGGGATCCATGCCATCGAAGACAAGACAGACGACAATCTTCTGCCAGGCGGGACCACCTCTATCCCAGAACTCTGTCCTTTTCAATTTCACAATATCTCGTACATTTTGCATTACCCCATGCAGGGTTCGGGCGGTTAGTACTTTATCCTCGTTGTAGTATGTGACGGCAATGAGAAGTTCAGTGTGCCGATTATACATCGAAGGACGGAGATTGTAACCATTACGTAGCGTAAATTCATCAGGGTCACATGTCGCGGCAGTGTCTAGAAAGAAAAAAAATAAGTTAGGTTATCATGATTGGGTTTTCTGCCATATTGTGACTACTCACATCTCATTTGCGTGAATTCTTCAGGAAGTTCCCCCTCCGCATCTCGATACTCGGGCTGAATAGCATTTCGTATAGGACTCGGTACCGGATAGTTGATACTCAAGACCGAGCCTTGGGTCAACTTGATTCGCCGTGTGGGGTATCGACGAATGCTACTTCCTTTGTGTCGTGGGCTCGATTCTTTGGAAGAGGAAATAGCGGAGCCTTGGTTAGAAAGGTTGTGTAATCTGATCTGATCAGGGAGATCTAGTGATTCCATCGACTCTGGCCTGGGGCTATTGACCTCAGCATATGAAGAGGGATACTGTCGGCGAGTCACTTCACTTGAAGAGACTGGGTCTTCGAAGGGACCGAGAGACAAGGCAGAAGAATGGGCCGGATGAAGTAGGGAGAGGGAATGCTCATTTGGGAGCTCAGTATTCTGGTAGCGACCGGAAATGTCAGTTCGGCTTGCCGCATATCTGGAGATCTAGTAATCTCCACTTCATATACACTTACCCGAGGCGAATGGCCATCAAGGCCGTCGCTTTCATCACCTTGCCGTGCATAATGAAACGAATAAGGCCGATCAAAAGGGTTCATGATGTACCAATCTCGACCCAATGTGGAACAACGGAGTACTGGAGGTGTGTAAGCTGCAAGTCCGAGATGCAGTCCCAGAAATCCCTGATGCCAAGCCGGTTTGAATTAAAGTGTGACAGGTTGTACAGATATGCCGAGCAGTACACTTTGCATTATCATTGAACTTGGAAAGAATTGAATCTTCCGATTTCTCACCCAAGAAAAAAACCACAAGCTAGTATACATTATCTCGCTCCAACTGAAATTGAGGATAACCGGCTATTTTAAGTCGGGGCCCCACATCTCTCTTATATGGATTGACCAATAAGAATACAAGCCTTATACCTTAGCGTGAGGCTAAAACACCCTTATTCTTTTAGTTCCAGCCAATGGGCAAACTATATTATGGGGACTCTAATTGTCCCTACTGGGCCCTTTAAGGGTTCAGCATTTTAATAAAATTTCATGAATTCCCTTATTAACCGACTAAAAATAACTAAAATTCCGCCAAATCCCACGAGGCACAAAATTCTGATTACGTCGAGATCTGGGGTCACCTTGAAGTGAGACAGTGAAGTTTTCTTAACCATTTCCTTCTCTACCAAAGTGAGAGTTAGAGTGTTTTAACTGCCAGATTAGACCCTTTTAAGGATAAGTGCGAAGAGTTGCTCATAATCTTTTCCATATCACTCCCCTTAACTCATTCCCATGCTGTTCACTATGAGCTCATTCAGGTTCTCACAACCCACGATGAAAGTGGAGTTGAGACTGGACGAGAAAGAGCCAGCATACACCCCTCAAGATACAGTATCAGGCGAGGTAATATTGCACACCGAGTCGCCGGCCGACTTGTCAACAATCGTCCTGAACTTGTCGGGGACAGCCACATCCCGGCTGAGTCAAAGCAGGCGCACGGAAACGCATGATGTATGTGGAAAAATGGCTACCCGGGCCGAATCTTGCTTGATGATTGTCATTAACACCAGGAATCTTCAGCTGTTCAAAAAATCTCACCGTCTATTTCCTTCAGACCATTTGAAGAGTGATTCAAACTGCTCCAGTGTAACTATCGGAAGCGGAAATCATATTCTTCAATTTTCCATCACGGTTAGTACCAATAACAATCAAAACCACTTTTGCTTGTCTGTGTCTGACTGGATTTTGATTTTGTTTAGATCCCACAAGTCATCGAATGCTACAAAACCGGGCATTGGTCAAACAAACAGCAAATTGGATGTGCAAATATTGGCTGGTCCAAAAGCAAATCCCACCTGTTGAGGAAGACTCCACCCTCAACAGGGGGCTCGGAATCACTGGCTGAGATCCAATATTCTTTGAGTGTGGTTGTTTCTGGCAAAAGTACCGTGAAAAAGGTAAGGAACTGCCCGCTTTCAACAATTACTGGGCAACGAAAAGTGCATTGAATATATTGCTGACCATTATCAAGACTCAAAATATTATATTTCATTCATCGTCAGACCCGATACCTTATCAGCAGCCCTTGAAGCAACAATGCTCCCTCAGCGTCAACCCGCGCATACTTGACGGTGATTCACCTTTATCCTTCAGAATCGACACAGAACTTCGAAATGGACCCTGTCTTTTCCTTGATAACTCAATTCCTTTGAGTATAAGAATCACGAAACTTGGAGATTCGCGCTGCAACATACTGCTGAGTGCATTTCAAACAATGCTGGTCGAAACGACACACGTCAAAGCGCAAGGAACATCAGAATCATCCACTAGCACATGGATCGTGCAAAGTATGGCCAATTTACATTATCCGATAGGCCTCGAAGATGCACCTGGAGACTCAATGGTCGATTTGAATGATATCTTATGGGCCAACCACCGACTTCCCACTGAGGTCACTTCGAGCTTCGAAGTTTGCAACATCAAGAGAACGTACAAGCTTAATTTAAGACTCGCATTTCTTGTTGGAGATTCCAAGGTACATACGGATTGATTCCAACCCTTCTTGAGTATCTTGGCCATAGCTAATACTTACTTTTCATATTCAGCTTCAGACTGTCATCCGAGATCTCGAATTTCCCGTCTATGTTATGGGCCCAACCATATCCTCTAAAGAATGGAGTTGATGGTTTTTGGATCTTTCCACATCTCTCTTTTTGGCTACTCTCTCAACTTTCCAGATATCTCACCGTGCAGCCCTTTTTTTTGTCAGATATTCATCAATCTCCATGTCTAGTGCTATTTAGCTTTATCGAACTCATTATCTTCATCATATCTCTGTCAGTTTTATTACCGGATATGCTTTGTCTTGATTTTCTACGGCGAATGAAGAATTTCATATACTTGATGACTGCGTCTGAAATCAAATACTAGAATCAAAAGACCACTTATTGGTACTGCGCTCACTAGGTAGATAAAGATGCTGACTCGGGTTGTCACGGAATTGGTAGTCATCTACTCCGTACCAAAGTCCCAAGTAGAAATCCCTCTCTAGCGCCCTGTGGACCATATTTAGGCCCACAGAGTAAGCCACTCCCGATGGCTGACTTAGTCTGTTCTGACCTCTCCTGCTCAACAGGATATGTGAATATTCGGCCTTTACAGACGAGACAACAGGGGTGCTGTCCATGGAAAGCATATGTTATTGTGGCTCTATGCCACCACGGGGAGATATGTAGTTCATCGAGCATCTTTTGACACCGGTAGAACAAAATGACTTCAACGTCGTACTATGCGAAGATGGCAGCCGACGGTATGATCCTCGGCTGCCCAGCACTCAAGTTCATAGGGACGAAATTGACAAGACATACCTAAACGGACCCACAAACGCAAAGTTGCCTTCCAGCCTCGCAGACTGGGAATAACTGTAATGACTGGATCACTGCAGGGGTCCCTCCCGTCTCGGCAAACTGATCGACAGTACAGTTACCATCTACAGTACATTGTTTTACTGACCAAGAGTGGTGGCAAGAATGATACGGGGTCATAGGAGACGCATTTTGTGCAGGGCCAGGACAAGCGGTCGAACTAAGCACCGTTTAAACACATGGGAGTCCTCTTCCCAAGTCTATGTCTTTCCTTGGAAACAAAAAATGCCCAAAACAGCAATATCTTCGGGCGAAAATGCAGTAAGTCATCTGAAATGGCAATGAAACCGACTTCAAAAAGTCGAAAGTTGTCGACAACGTGATTTAATACATTCAATCTTCTTTCACAAAAACCCATCTCCTAGCATACAGTGCTCTCGGAAAAGGAGTGCCGAAAGTCAGGCGATTGAAAACATACGTGCCGAGCCTCCCGAATACTAAGAACTCAGCCCAGCTCAGCCCGACCCACTGTAAACTGGGATCAGGAGAAGGCGTACTCCGTACAAAGTGGTTTATATTGCCTTTATTTTATCCCTGTGGGGAAACGGAACATGTCTTCCTTATTTACCAGTCGCGTAGAAATTGCCTTGGCAGTTTCATATACACTTGGCGCAATAACAAGACTGACAACGCCGACTAAAAATAGCCGTCAATAATCTAGGGCTATGGTTCAACCAACGAAAGGTCCATAAAAAAGTGCCAAACGACTATAAAGGGTCATATGAACCAAATATCCTACACTAAACCATTAGACCGAGTCAAAAATAAAAAATCACGTCTCGAAATCCTTCCAACCCTCAAAATTATGTCAACTACAACGACCGGAGCTATGACAGCCACCACGGGTTGTGGAACCGCAGCCCAGTATGAAATTCCCGTCAAAGATGCATCGTGTGGAGTTCCCAACACCGACAAGTACAAAGGACTCCTTTCAAAATGCGCGAAACCCGCTGGAGTAACTTCCTATAACGACGACTGTGCTCTCTACGCTCTGGCCGTTGATCAGTCAATTCAAGATCTTACCGACTGTCTCTACGACGCCAAAGTCGCCTGGAAGGACGTGTGGTGCCACGGAGACACCAATGCCACCGCAACGGCAACCTCGTACCCCACTGCATCGGAAACCGAAACCGCTTCGAAAACTTCTGCCGACAAGACATCAACAGGTACATCGACAGGTACCTCGACGGAGAGCGCAGCAACTAGCACTAGTACCAGCTCTGGGGCAGATGTCTCTGTACCGAAGGTCCATACCAGCTTGAAGGCTGTCATGCTTCTTTCAACTCTTTTTGCCTCTGCCGTGTTCGTCGGAATTTGATAACCTCCCGGTCACTGTCTCTCTGCTCAACGCCTTGACAGCTGTCATTATTTTTTCGGCTTTGCTTTTTCTACCGTCTTCATGGGCTTTTGATGGACAACTCAAATCTTGTGGACCTATTCGATATCAGCTCTTTCATCATGATACCTCTGAGGGCATAGGCGCAACTATGCAATGTACATTAAGTTTTAAACTGTCTTTTGTTTCTTGTCAGCGATCTTATAGAGTAATCAATATTTACTTCTATTCTAATACTATCAATCTTGTCCTAGTCTTTCAAACTGAGGCTCAATCCATATCATCTCATGACGGCGGCTGTAAATAGCGCTTATCACAATCAGTCCAATCCAATGGTCTAAGCCAAATTCCCATCGATTGCAGTCTTAAACTCTCAGCAGTCTCCCGTCAAGTCAATGTTTGATCTGCAGGGAAATCCCGTTATCTAAATTGTCGGAGTCCAAGTCCAGACTTCAATTGGGCTTCCCTGACGTTTATACGAGTCTGAATCATCTGATACGTCCCCTAAATTCGCTACTCACCTTTTGATGCGCTCAACCAGAACTTGAACGTGTACAGCAATTACAGCAACCGTTCAGATTGTGTAGAGGAACCAGGAAGTTTAACCGATAAGCCCAAACAGACTGCGTATTTATCTTTGTTGTTCAGTTTACAATCTTGCGATATTCGGGTTTGTACCAAGACGGTCATTGGAAGAATTATCCCCCTTGCAGAAACCATCGGGCTTTTATCATTTGTGTCACAATCTGTAGGCTTTAATGAGGAATAAGCAAGGCTAAACTATCTATAGGCCTAAGTACCTGCCTGTGTGGGCCAGATCAAAATGTCCGAGCTATTCACACATCGCTAGAGGCAATATCATAATACCAACACGATCGATATAAATGCCCTTCTGCAAAGTCAGAAGTGGAATTCATATAAAAAAGCATGAAGTTGGTGGCTTTGTAGAAAGAAAACGAATAGAAGAAGCAAATCCAAACTCGGACTTGGTGCGTTTGTAGTAGTACAGCATGGACCAATTCTCAATGAACAACACACATGATCTAAGTCAGCGTTCCAAATGTAACAAAAAAGGTGAACCCCTTTCTAGACACTTTTTCTTAATCCAATAGTTTCGTTGCGTACAGACGTGCAAGATAGTTCTTGAAACAAAAAAAAGCATCTGACCAGGCTTCATCTCCGAACGTCGACTTTATGGCATGGTCAAGACTCCAGACTCGTATACCGAGCATAGATAGATGGTTCATAAAGAAATATAAATACGATCACCCTGCTAACCTTGAATAGACTCATCCCTCCAGTACCATCTCGCATTTGACAATTCTACAATCGAAACATTCCTCCAATATCAATATGCGTTTCGTCTCCATAGCTTCCATGGCCATTATCGGCGTTGCTTTGGCTGCGGATAAGCCCCCTGTTGTGGTAAGTTCGAACAAATCAATACCGAAGATTATTGAATCATCTAACCATGTCTCAGATTGGCGCCGGATTCCCCTGCAAAGCCGATGGCAGCGCAGGGTACTGTGCTAGCGGCTTCTGCTTGGTAGGTTTTCTTCCCTTATATCGAAACATCATGGTATCAAAGACTAATCTGTTATGCAGCAACTTGCTCACGAGAATGAGGGAGTATGCAAGTAGACTGCGGATCTCACCTTTGATTCGAATTGATTTACGAGGCAACGTTTCTGCCCAAGGAAACCCTCCAAGGGATGGGGTGGTTAAGCTGGCTCGAAAGTTGTATACTAGTCGATGTCGTTAACTGAACATGACTCTTTTGGTCAAAATATGCTCTTGAAATGAGATCCCCGAAAGGAAAATTTGAAGTCTTGATAGGATTGGTAGCTGCAATGTTCTACAAATATGTTGCGAGATAAATAGAACAAAAGCTGTGACATTTGCATGTCATGTGGTCTGTGTTCTTGGACGTATCTTAATATCAAACAGTCACCAATTCAAACGGTTGCCAATATATATTTTATGTAGTCAAAATTAGAAACCTAAGATCGTTAGCCATTTGCTTCTTTCTTGGAATGAATGCACGAGGACATACCCTTTTCAGTGTTACCCTCACCCATGCTCTTGCTGCTGCTGCTTCCACTCTGGATAGCGCCCATGATGCCATCCATATAAGGCGCACCACTCCACTTCTGGTGGGTGAGAACATCGACACCGAGGTCCTTCTCGCGGGCCTGGACAAGGCGAACATAGGCCAGCATACCCTCTTCCTTGAATGCACGGGAAAGTTCAGTCGTGATGGTGGCATTACTGTGCAGACCAGCCAGGGAAATGAGTTGCAGGACAAATCTGACCAAAGTTAGTGGATTGAAGCGAGATAGATTCCATGTTGGTCTTACCCTTGCTTGGCAATATCCCAGATAAAGGACTTGAGGGAAGCCTCATCAAATCCTTGTCCCATCCAGTTGAAGGAAGGGCTGAGGTTGTAGACAAGCTTCTTGCCTGGGTACGCCGCCCGCACTTCGCCGGCAAGCGTTCCGGCCTTCTGAACATCTGGATCACCGGTTTCAACCCAGAGGAGATCTGCGTAAGGAGCAAATTCCTTCGCGCGCTTCGTCGCAGCAGGGAATCCCGCGGAGTAGTGGTAGAATCCCTCGCGAGTGCGTGGGCTATCACATGACCACACAACAGGTGTTTTGGCGTAATCATTTGCCAGCGCACGGCGACGGGAGAAGGAAAGATCGGGGTTCTTCTGGACGTAGGCCCTGTACGCATCCCGAGAAGACTGGGGAGCGCCCTCCGATTCAAGATGAGCATCGACGGCTACATATTATTAGTAAATGGATCGTTTGATACAGGGTCAATAACCATACCTTCGTCGAGTGTAACAAGCTTGTGCCTCTTGACCCAGTCAAGCTCGAACGCGTCGATCTCCTTGGGTGAGGCGCCCTCTCGTTCCATAGCTTGGAGGGTCTCGGCCAGAGGTTCCACATCTTCCGCGATACCAAGGATGAATTCATGATCACGTACATCAATAGCGCTGCTGATGAGTCGGCCGCTCTCGGAATCTGTTCGGGCAATGACCAGGTTCTCACATCCCATCATATCCCACTGGAAACGAGCTGCGACCAGTCGGTTGATGTGTTCACCCATTGGAACGAGCACTTTGCCTGCAAGGTGGCCGCACTTCTTTCCGCCGTGCAACTGATCCTCAAAATGAACGGCCGCGGCACCATTCTCTGCAAATAGCTTGGCGAGCTTTAAAACAGCCGATAAACCACCATGGCTGCGTCGAGGGAATTAGTAATACTTTCTGCATTCATTTCCAATCATTGACGTACCCGGTATCACCATCCGCAACGATCGGTCGCATATAATCAGTGTAGGGTGTAGCCTTTCGCTGATCCGGGGTCATCTTTCGCCTTATGTCCCACTGTTTCCGGTCGTGCATGGACTGGGCCTTGAACAGACGCTGGACCTGGTTGGGGACGGTGTTGTAGGGATAATCGCCAAAATCGGGGGATACTTCATTGGTACTGGTCAAAAGTGAAGAGCAAGCCCAGCCCGAGACATAGAGAATCTCTTGGTTGGGGGCTTGCTGCGTCATTTGGACAGGGTCGATAGCTCCCACTTGTGTGCAGAACCGATGTCAGCTTCGTCGCAATTGGAGCTCAGCCCGTCAAGGACTCACTGGTATGAACGGGCTCGCCAGCAGCCGCTCGCTCATTGAGAAGGTTAAAAAGTTTCCGCGCCATCAAAGAGCTGGGGTATGTTTGTTGCAACGAGCCGCGCTTGCTCACAACATCTGCCGCTGTGTACGGGCGCTTGATGCCTTCGTACCGAGGCGAATTCCACCATGATTCCACATCGCGAATTTGTTGATCGTATAGCGCATCTTCGGCTTCCCCTGCTTTATCTTGTGTGGACAAAAGCTGGTATGCGTCTGAGGGAAGGGCGGTGGATACGGGGGGCTGCACAGGTGTCATCCGTGTATAACCGCTTGTGAATGGCCGCAATGAACGCGCAGAAACAGTAGACACAACGGGAACACGTCGAGGCAATCTTCGCATCGAGCGAAACATGGCTGGCAGTATAAGTGAAAGAACAAATGAATTGAAACAGAAAGAAAAGAAAGTCAAGGATAGAAAGGAATAAAAGCAACCTTGGAAGGGCTCCGCTTGACCTCGGGCCGTGAACATCTGGGGTTTCCCCGCCACCGAGGGAGCTCCGAAATTCGCTACATGACTAATCCTTGGCATCAACAGGGGTCTACCTCCTCGACTACACACCTACTTCGTATGTTGGATATAATATTCAATTTGCCTGTGCCATCTCTATCCTCAATCTTGTCTCCAGCTCTAACAGCCTCTCTATATCTAGATACGCCGCCCAAAATTGTCGGTTAACGGTCGGGGCATATTGTCTATGCCCTGGAACCCAAGTGTAGCTTCGATAATATATCTTTTCTACCTGGCATATAGTAGTCGATGTTGAATATGCAAAAGCCTTAGGAGGTGCTACTGTTTTCACTAAACAACCCCTGCGCTAGGACCTTATTTTTTATCGCCTTTGTGGTGGTACACGAATGTTGAAATTACTGTGACCTACGGGGTCGTGGTAACCTTGCAAGTGCCTCTTCTTAGGGATGGTCTCTAGTTTCAGCACCGGCGTCCCGAACATCCCTCCCACAACCGCGTGTATTCTGACCTTACTCTCACTAGGGCCTTATATTTCCTGCACATCGGCCTCATCTCAACATCACTTCACTTTGATACTTCTTTCTAATGCTTATACCATTAGACCAATGGTAAAATGGACCACATTACAGTACTCACTTCTATTTGACATTTCAAAGGTTCATACTCGCAATACTCAATTTCAAAAGATTCAGTTCATTCTTCAAACAAGGTAATCAATAATATGCATACATGCTTTACTCCATGGGCACATGTATGGGGTATAAAGGTAGGCATTGACAGGTAAACCGATTGAACAATGCTATTCAGAGGCTCAATTCAAAGTCTATATTGATCAAAACAGGCAGCCCCATTGTGATACTCATTAAGGCATCACTCAATACACCTTCAAACACGATAATGACATTCAATTCACCTGAGAAACAATATTGAGCTTCATTCAGGTCGATTATCAATAGCCTCAATACTGCTTAGCCACTTATATAAGTTTGAAGGGGTTTCCCAACTGTTCTCTTCTTTTTCATCTGTAAATCTCACCAGTATCCGCCCCCCCGTCTTTCCTTGTTTTCTTTGCTGTTTTTTTCGTGTTTCGAAATGGTGCTGGACACCATGGCTCCGTTCTCGAAGAGCGGTCTCCAGGTACTCGCTGGCGAGTACCTGGCTGGTGCTTTTCTGAAGTGGGACGAAACGTCCCTGTTCGACCAGCTGTTTGCCGCGGGCTCCGAGCCCGAAATGTTTGTCGTGAGCTGGGAGCTGACCGAGCTCCTATGCAAGATGGTCATCGTCGTGGGGCCCGGCTCCCCCCAAACCTACCTCCTCCGTGCCGTCCTCGCACCCGAGTTTGCGTGGTTCGGCTTGCACTGGGCAGGGATGCCACACCCTGGTAAGTACCTGTCTTCAAGAATCGAAGGAAAGACCCATACTAACCCGCGGATAGCCCAGGTGTCCACCTACCCCTCCGACCTCCTCGACCTCCTCCACTCCCGCCCCCTGGCCGCATCTGTGGCCCTCCACCAAAACCTGGGGGTCGGCGAGAAGTGGAAGGCCCTCGTCCACTCTCTGTGGGCTCACCTTGAGCCCTACCGCTCCTACTTCCCTGCCGGCAGGCCACAACCGACAGGTGGCAACGACAACGACGTCCTTCCACCAATGGTGGACGTCGAGTACCCTCCTTCGCCCGTCGAGGAGGATGTGGAGGGTGTGCTGCCCATGGAGGGCGTTGAATTTGGGTCCGTCCCCATGACGGGGCCTCCCTCCCTCCCGTGGCTCCCTCCCTCCCCGTGGCTCCTCCCCTCCCCGTGGCTCTGCCCTCCCTCCCCGCCGTGCTGCCTTCCGTTCCTGCGGCCGGCCCCTCCACCAACAAGTACCGCCAACGGTACTAGATGCCTTCGTGAAGACTGTTTGTGCCTGTCCCCCCACTTGCTGGGGGCGTCAGCCGTCGTTAGTCTTTTTTTTAATTCAAACAAAGATCTTTCTCGTCGTTTCTGTTTCGTTGTAATCTATATTTTCATTGTAGCTGGCGGTTATATCTGTAGTCCTAGCGTAGTACCGTTGGGGAAATTCCCCGCACGATGTTATGTTTATAGCGGTTGACTATCTACTAGTAGATATATGCCACAGATTCTCTGGTTGGGATGAACAAGGCCATTCACCTCATATATGATGCCCAACCCGGTTGAGATTGCAATCGAAAAAGCACATTTCTCCAAGATCGGCACCCCCGCATTGGCTTATCTCCTCTCCGTATTTCCCTATCTTCTACTTGCCATTCTCTCTATTTCTTATCTTCCTGTCTTTCCTGTCTGAATATTTCTATCTTTTTCTTCGAATGGGCTTTAACATCGACTTGGTATGGAAAGCATTAAAATCCCATCGATTTTAGATCCGCCCGACAACCCGGCAACGCGGGGAAAGCTTGGGAAGCCGAAGCAGACAAAGAGTCGGAATGGTAAGTTAAAGTACCGTGAAGCTGCAACTTTTCATCAAGAATAATGCAGACGGTCACTTCATCACATTGTCCGGGACAACATTGACTCGAGTCTCCACTTTTATAGGTTGCATCACTTGCAAGGCAAAGCGGTTGAAGTGCGACGAAATCAAACCTTCATGTCAGCAGTGCGAAAGACGAAAGGTCCGATGTGGAGGATACAAGAAAGACTTCAAATGGCGGCCATTCGAGGAGACCAACTTGGCTCCTGGACGGCCTATAGTGGCCAAAGCCAAGAAAGGTAAGGGGTGCCGTGTGGATCTCGGGTCGGACCTGATATACTCACAAATCCTCTTTAGATAACACCTCGTCCCGTCGAACTCCGTCTGTCGCCAATATTGACCAAACCTTTTCAACTCCTTCAACGACTGAACAATCAGCATCGCCGATTCGCATAAAGTCCCCCGAGTTTGGTGGCTCTCATTCGCCTCAAGGCTCTCCTTTGCATAGCTCGCCCATTAGTATCAATAGCTTTCTGTCTACGGATGCACGTTCTCTTGAAGAACTGCCTACCAAACGAGAAGATGCTTCCATGGCTGAATGCATCGAAACTCCTCTTGACATCAATGTGTCATTGTCGGCCGACTCTCCTTCTTTCAATTTTCTCACCTTTTTGAATCCCTTTCAGGATTCCCTGTCGCTTGCAAACTCGTTGGTTTCTGATGCCGATGTCGATACTGCTAGACATATCCCTCTTGGCCCAGAGCAGCCAGATCCAGATGCATCGAGGCTGAGCTTCTCTCAACTATTGGAGGATGAGAATAATGATATTGAGGAGATCATCCGGAAGTCGGATCCAGGACTGGGCCCTTGGAACTTCACCTTCCCGGAAGAGGATTCTTTCAATCTTGACGTGTCAAGCATGTCAAATAACCCATCTCTACCACCAGAAAGTCCAGAAATGCTCGTGTTGCGGTTTGATAAGCTCACATGTGGGATTTTATCTGTCAAAGATGGTGCATTGGAGAATCCGTGGCGAACACTTATTTGGCCGTTAGCAAAAGATACACCTGCACTTCGCCATGCCATCTTTGCTCTGACGGCGTTCCACTCGGGCAAGCAAAGCCCCCATCTTCGTGCCCAAGGAGTAAAATATATGCGCCAGAGCATAACTGGTCTAGTTGAGCAAATCCAGAATATGAGAGCGGACGCTGCGCTTGCAACTAGTCTGGCGTTGGCATTTGCCGATACCTGGGACCAGCATACCCGCACATGCATCCAACATTTGCGAGGCGCAAAAACATTGATGTGCAAGGTCATCGCAGCCGGGATGCAAGGGGGCGTTAGCGACGAGGAACTGGATCGCATCCGGTTCCTCTATAATACATGGTCTTATATGGACGTGATTGCGCGACTAACTTCTTTGGATGAGTGTGGCCCTCAAAGCTGGGATTCTTCGATTTTCGAGCTTCCCAGCGATGCAGTCCATGATATTGATCCGTTGATGGGCTGCGCAACTACTCTATATCCACTCATGAGTCGGGTGGCGAAGCTGATCCAGCATGTGCGGAGAATCTCGTCGAACACGGTGTCGGTTGTGGCTCAAGCTATGGAACTGAAATCTCTTGTGGAGCAATGGGAGCCACCGCACTGGTTTGAGCCACCAGATGACCCCAATTCCGAGGTTCAACATAGCATTCAAGTTGCACATGCCTATCGCTGGGCTACGTTGCTGTACCTGCATCAGGCCGTTCCAGAGATACCCTCCGAGCCAGCGGATGAATTAGCAAAAAGGGTCCTGATATTGCTTGCAACTGTCCCCTATACCTCCCGGACTACTATCATACAGATGTTCCCTCTTCTAGCAGCTGGCTCTGAGGTTGACACCGACGATGACCGAAAATGGGTGTTGGATCGATGGACCACAATTCAGTCTCGCCTGATGCTAGGTGGTGTAGACCGCTGTTTGGAGGTGTTGAAAGAAGTCTGGGAACGTCGAGACGCGATGAACGCCAGAAGAGAGCGTGAAATGGGTAGCTCACGATGTGCTGGGTCTTTCTCATCTGGAGACAGGGAGAAAATGAGCTCATCATTGCCAACCCATTTCCGAAAATACAGTCTCAATGGCTCGCACAAGGGTTCAACAGGAGGAAGATCAGGGCAACCTGCATCGAGGTCTGCGCGACGGGGTTCCGCACTTGCATCGCTTGAAAATATTGAATTTGAACGAACTGTGCGTGGCAAGTTGCATTGGGTGAACGTTATGGCTGAGTGGGGATGGGAAGGTGTGATTGACAACTGCCGAATTATTTCATCCAAGGACTAACTCTGCAATTCATAGTTTTCCTTGGCTAGCCTGACAGCAGCCCAAATTTTGGCCACAAGTCTGGGTATCGAGGGAGCAGAATATCATATTCTTTGCATCCTAGCCTGCTGTACTAATATGACGGCTAACAAAGCAAGCAGTCTGAGTTCTTGTTCTTTTCCTGGTTTTTGTTATTATGTTCTCATCGTTTCGGCTCTCATGTCTTTGTGCTAAGGTTGAAATTGTACTTCGCGACCCTCACTTGGTGTTGCCTCGAACTAGCGCGGCGTTCAGGGATCTGTTGTTCTCTTGTTAATGAGTTATGACAACTATGTTTGCTTTTTCGATTGAGACTCTGTTTCTGCAACTGTGACTTACTTTCTGACTACAAATTGCGGTTGATCTAGGAACTAATATGTCTACCATCACTGTGGTTTATTTGCCTTCCACGCTTCTATTCAGCTTTCCAATACGCGATATCCCCATTCCGGAAGCCCCCAAGCAACTGTCCAGTCCTAGCCTATGACACCAACCCCACGGCCACCCAATTTGAATGTCCAGTGATATGGAAACATGATCAGCTCTGTCAAAACCCTAAGCACATGATCCTCGTTGCCAGAGCGACCCGATATATCAGCTCGCTTGACCATCGTTATCCCTGTCGGTTTTTGACACCCCATGCCCAGAATACCCACCTACCAACCCTGATCATCCAATGCAAGCAGTAAGCTACATTTGCCTTCGTAGCGCTACTCATCAAGGCCTCGTCCAATACTGTCCCTACTGGGAAAAATGTAAACATGACAGGAGCCGATGTTTTCGGAGAGACCATTCTCTGATCATCGCAACTGTCTTTGAGATACCCAAGTTTCCGACTTCCCCTACGCGCAGGGATACTCTTTCCTTAGTCGGACTTTTGGGCGGCTTCGATATTGGTTCATTTTCTGATAAAATATCTCCCGATCCTGACAAAGGTTGTCATGTCAGGCCAGTATGCCTAGACATTCAGCCAGATGTGTCTCTGTCGAGCTGATGTTGCAGTTGTTGTTGGCTCTGAAATCTACCAGCATAATCACTGCAGCTTGTCTGAGAAGAACGAATATTCACTTTCGAATATTCCCAGGCTGTTTATTAGCATCTGCTCGCTCACAGTGTGGGGCTGGAGAATTCGGCAATACCCTCACAAGAAATCATGATTGATACTCCGATGAATACATAGCTACAGGAATTTGATTCTTGGTGAGTGTGTCCCTGACTCCCTGGGCCTAAAGGCGATTACTCCCCGGGAGAACCTCGGGGCCCACTTGCCCAAGGCTGATTTGTAAGTTCAAAGTTCTAGAAGTTCATATTTATGTACAGGATAATTTACAATAAGTGCATAAATCTGGATCCCTCTCAATAAGGGAATTGAAACTGTTCGGCCTTTGCACCAAGAATGGGCACGAAATCCTCACCCTCACAAATCTTCATAGCCTTTTGATAAGCAGGTCTGTCACCAACACGCTTGAGATAAGCCAGAATATTCTTATGCTTCTGCTCATCAAACTCAATGGGGCAGAATCCTCTCATGGTGGTAAGAGTACAGATCGCCATGATATCCGCTGCGGTGACGTCATTCCCAACCAGATAAGATCCGGTTTCACCGAGTCTCGCCTCAATCATTGAGAGCGCAGCGTCAAGCTTCGCATTGCCCACCTTGACATGCACTCCTTCTGGGTCGTTGGTCAAGCGCCGGGTAATCAGCACACGGGCAAGGGTTGGCTGTAGGGAGGCATTCGCCCAGTGGTACCACTCTAGGAATTCGATGTACTCCTCGCCGTCCTTGGGTGTGCGTGCGAGGCGGCCCTCTCCGTAGGCGGCAATAATGTAGTCAATAATAGCCCCCGACTCAGCAAGGATGACCTTGTTTTTCGTAAAGGGGGAGCTGTCATCTTCGATCACCGGTGCGGTGCCAGAGGGATGCAGGTCTTTGATTGATTGAGGGGCGAAGATAGGATCGCGCTTGTGGAAGACAAAGTCGTACTTGATGCCAAGTTCTTCGGCGAGCCAGACGATGCGCTCTGATTGGGAGCGGCCAAGGTGGTGAATTGTCAACGGCATCTTGGTTTGAATAGCTATTGGTGAAGTGGCTTCGAAAGGATAGAAATTGGAATGGGAATTGTGAGAGATATGAACCAGACTCTACGATGTACCTGACGCTAAACACAAGTATTTATACTTCCTACGTAGGTTCGTCAGCATCGTATCGGAGATATGGTTGTCTCCGCTTTATGGACCTCGGGACGAGATTAGTCAAATTCATAGCTCTGGACCTCGAGTGAGACAGCTTATTAACATTTCTTGACCTTCCCGAGGTCCCTTCCGATCCGGCCTATAGTCTATCCGCTTATCAGTGTGTATATCATTCCAAGGTTTGGCTACTGTAACTGTATAACAGCTACATCGCGGTACAAACAATCCTCCCTTATGGACTCCCGAATCCTCACTGCCCCATAAACAAATACAGCAAACATTCCTAAACATCTGTCAACGAATCCCTAAGAGGATCCGGGCTAAGATTACTCATTGATTACGTCATTTTCCCATAATTGACAACGGGTCACCTACTTAAACACTGAAAATTAGCAATACGGGCACTTGGGTGTCGATTCCTGCACCTGGACGAGCTCCGAGAACTACGTTAATTGGGCTATCACAACAAAGCAACCCCAGATAGGGAGGCATTGAAAAACTCACGTAGAGTAAGGAACTGGTATACAACCCAAGCGGTTTCACTACTGAGTTTCTTACTCTGCGTGAATTCTTCAATAGCTCCCATCTAGAGTTGCTTTGTTGTGATAGCCTAATTAACATAGTTATCGGAGCTCGTTCAGGGGGTGAAGATCGACACCAAATCCTGTACTGCTGATTTTCAGTGTTCAAGAAGGTGACCCATACGGTGCCAGGATCTTGCAAAACCTACCTCGACAAGAAGGTCTTGTTTCATTGCCGCTTTCACATTCTACGTCCTCATACGTACCGCATTGGTACTTACCCTCCTGGTATACATGCCCACAGACAGCCGAGTGGTAGATATACCAACCACAAGGACAGCTGCTTGGGTTGTGAAGATTGTTGCCCAGACGAGCGTCGACGTCAGTCTTCATTTCATTTGGTGAAGTCATATCTATCAGATAGCTATGGACGGAGGTGTAGGAGAATAGAAATGCAGGTGGTAGAACCGTCAAACGGAAGGTTGGTACAATTAGAAGCAAGCAGGAACGTTCCAAGCAAGGAGCAAATTTTATCTCACAAATATGAACTTTGCCTTAGTGTGGCTGTACTATTATTATACCAATATTTCGAGTATGCTGATCATGTATAATGCAATTCCAATCACTCGTTCGCCAATAAGTGCTACGATTTAAGCACTTAGTTTGTCTAGCTGTGTATGCATGAGGCTGAAAATCGAATCGGGGAACTAGCGGTGAGAACTGTTATTGGATAGATGATCCCTCGACGACGCATCAAAGTGGGGATATATAAAGCACGGGGGTGTTTTTTTGCTAACACATTCATATAACCTCCAGGCTTGAACCGCATCTCATAACATCCTCCCCACTCGCCCACATTACCAGAGGAGCATTACACAGGTCACCAGTTCCTTCGATTGGCCATGATCAACCCCCAAGACAGATTCTGGTCCGACAGCGGGGGCTATGACCCCCCGATGGACAACCCTGCTTCAAAATGTTTTCTCAATGTCTGGGATTGGGATCAACTGCGGATGATCAAGGTCAGAGGCACTGTCAAGCTGTTTCCGCCGGACGGGAATGTCGAGCTCTCGGTTTTGGCGCCATTGGCTGATTATCTATCGCCGGAAGTTCGTGCAATCACAGTCGACGACGACGGGCTCCTTACTGAGATTTCGACGGATCCAGAGGAGGACGATACTATGTTCATTGCATATCCCCCCTTCTCACTCTGCGACTCGCTTGCCAATTGCCATACAGTCCAGTACTCTGAACTTCAAGAGCTCGATCGACTTGGACCATTTATTGATCTTGTGTCGTATGAAGACGAGTCCGGGATTTCTCAAAAGGTTGTTTTTAAGTTCAATGTCTTGAATAAACCTTTGAGACTACAAATGGCCTGGGATGAGCTCAACATTCTCAAAAGTTTACCACCACATTCTAATATGGTACCATTTGATAGCGTTGTCCTTGATGAGTCTCGAGTGATCGGTTTCACGACGAAGTACATCCAAAGTGGTACTCTCGCCAATCCAAAGCTCCTTTTTCGATTTGAGTGGCTGCAACAGCTTACCCAACTCGTGGATTTTCTCAATCTAGAATATGGGATCATGCATCAAGATATTGCACCCCGAAATCTGCTCATTGACCCTCGCACGCATAAGATTCTTCTGTTCGACTTCGATCGGGCGGCATGCGGAGAGAAGAACCTGCGCGACGGCCGAGATGACGTTAGTAGTGTCGTGTTCACAATATACGAGCTTATTACGAATGATACGTCCTTTTCTAGTATCCCCCACTGGGAGCGAAATATGAATATGGTGCAAGGTATCCTAGAGTGGACTAGTCATCGCGAGCTGGACTCTGCGGTATCGAGATTCCGCAACTTTCTCAATGAATGGGTAGCGAAACGAAGATCCGACGTGGATGGGGACATGAAACGATATCTGAATGCACCAAACCGACTTGCGTTGCCGGACAGACCAACAGCGCCCGAATATCGTGTACCATATGACTCGGGCACAATAGCTGGACAGCCAACGTGGGTAACGGGCTATCGGTATAGAAGGGATGCAATGAAGTTAGGGCAGCATTGCTTTCGTTGGGAGAGGCCACCGCAGAGCCGCTTGTTGAAAAAGACTGAACATAATGTCAAATAGTCGATATTGGAAAGCAGTGTTCTGTCGCGTTGAATCAATATCAGATCTCGTATGCTGCGTCGCTAGATTACCTTTTTCCCTTGGCATTGTCAATTAGTTTCTCACTCTTATAAAATCGGAAGAAAAGAAGAAAGAAGGATAGAAACTGGCACGGTGAGTGGATATCACACTGTGCTGATTATCATAAGCCCTGTAGTATCATTAGAAAGAGATACCCTTTTGGCAGTGTAGAACTGTGACTCTGGAGAAAGCCGCCTCGAGAAGAGCCAGAAATGGCTCCTTCGTTCGGGAGTGGGAGTAGGATGGAGTTGCAGTAGCTGCATCAGAATGAACACTCAAGATTTCGAGCTTATGATTCAAAAGAATCCATCACGCAGGGTGTGGTCGTGTTTTTATCGTTCGTAGTTTGCTCGAAATTGAAGGTAATATTACAAATCAGGTATGAGACCTAGTTAATGGAAGCTCCAATTTGGGGAATGAGATGTTAGCGAACAGATGATATTTGGCAATAGCTTTGACCCCAGGGATCGTTCCTCCACAGGGCACATACCTCTGGCATAGTCTGTCTCTCTGAGTACATCACGCTACCAATGCGCTCGCTTTCACATTAGCGTCTACATACGGAACAACATTCCCTCTTCATTAACTACCAGACAGAGTCTATACTCTTTGTGGGTTTATTTAGTGATTCTAGGTAGATTCGGTTCTATTACGATAGCACATGTCACTCGTCAAGCGAGATTTGGGTATATGACCTGCTCACCATTGCCACTTCCGGCGCAGTGCTTTCTGTAATCCCACCTCGATGTGAGACAATGCCTTGTACTCCCCTCCCCCGATCCCAGCCGGGGTTCGAATTTGACAAACCCATTGCAAATGCGAGGGGTGAGGCCCATGAAGACGTCCGAGGGGAGAGATCGCAACCCGTGGACCTCGTGCGCCTTTCGTGCGCTGCCTCGATCAAGTCCACGATATCATCCCAACCACACTCCTCAGCCAACTCCAGCGGAGTGTACCCATATTCCCCACTCGCATCAGGATCCAGGCCAGCATCGTTCAGCAACAACTCAACCAGTTCTCGTCGTCCTGCCTCAACAGCAATGAGCAATGGAGTGCGGCCCTCTTGGTCTACTCCTCCTGGGGAAGCACCCGCGGTGAAGAGAGCTTCTGCGACTTGCACATGGCCATTCTCCACAGAACGCATGAGCGGCGTCATCCCATCCTTGTCCTCAGCGTTCGTGTCAGCACCTTCCTCTAGAAGCATCTCTACGGCTGTCAGTCCCCCGCTTTCCGCGGCACGAGAAAGAGGAGTTTGACCATTACTATCCCTACACTCAAGGTCAACCTTCCTTGTTGCGAGGAGTTGGTTCACGATGGTCGGGTAACCACCCCAGGCAGCCCATAACAGCGGTGTGCGCCCTTCATCGTCCGGTGCATTGACGTCCACCGTGTACATGGCAAGCAGACATTCAACCACGGTGGCATGACCGCGTCCAGACGCCCACGAAAGAGGGGTTCGGCCAGTTTCGCTTTTATGGTTGCAATCCGCCCTTCCATCGAGAAGGAATACTTCGATGACGTCCACACACCCTTCTCGCGCAGCAAGAGATAAGGGAGTTGCCCCCTTGGCATTGGTGGAGTTCGGGTCAACCCCTGTGGTGGCAAGTAGAAGGCGGACCACGGAGTCGCGTCCGTGCTGGGCTGCTACTGCGAGTGGTGTATTGCCGCTGCCTCGCTCACATAGGTCTGGGTCAACTATAGAAGTCTGAAGTAGTCGTTTTACCACCTCTTCGCCACCGTTCTCTGCAGCACGAGACAAGGGTGTTCGACCGTAAGAGTCCACAGAGTTAGCGTCAACTCGGGGAACTTCCAATAAGAGTTCGACCACGGATGTTCGTCCCCAGAATGCGGCGAGCGAGAGAGGGGTCCCTCCCTCCTTATCCTTGTGGTCAGGATTCACACGACTATCGGCGAGAAGAAGGCGAATGGTATTTTCATGTCCTTGCCAGGCAGCGATTGATAATGGGGTCTGGCCCCGGATGTTTTCGGCGTTCGGATTCACTTTTTGATGACCGAGCAAGAGGGACACCACCTCTTCATGGCCATATTGCGCGGCAGAAAACAGTGGCGTGCGCCCATCTTCATCCCGACGATCCGCATCCGTGCCATGTTGCAGGAGGACATTCACCACGGCGGCATAACCATTCGATGCTGCGCGAGAGAGCGCTCTATTTCCAGTACGAAGAACCAGGGGAGCACTGTGAGTTACCAACAGCTCCACGGACCCAGCATGTCCCTGCCCTGCTGCCGATACGAGTGGGGTTTCCCCGTGGCCATTCTCGCAATCAATATCAACTTGATGAAGCAGAAATGCCTTGATTACCGTTTCATCCCCGTTATACGCAGCTGCGCATAGTGGTGTCTGTTTTGAATGATCCATGTGGTTGAACTCCACTCCACGGCCCATGAGCAAGTCCACAATCTTCCCGTGTCCATTATCTGCAGCCAGAAACAAGGAAGTTTGGCCCTCGTCATCCTGCCAGTCTGCCTCAACCAGGTTATTTTCAAGCAATGCCACCACGACAGCAGCATGTCCACGCGCAGAGGCCCAGAGCAGAGGTGTTCGGCCAGAACTATCCTTCACGTCCGGTGGGAACTTGCGAAGCAAAAGCCTCGCCGTTTTTTCGAGCCCGAAGTAGGCCGCAACATGCAGTCCGGTCATTCCGCGCGGGCTGCGCTCACTGCGTCCTTGGCTCCGTTCAGAAAACATGGCCTGAGCCGCGCTAGATACGCACTTCTCATGCTCCAGAAGTTTCAGCACCAGGGACGTCTCCTCAAACAATGCGGCCTGTACGTGGTAACCCCAGTTCCGCGACGCGTAATCATACAATGCATATTGATCCAGGCGTGCCTTGAACTCAGTGCCTGTTGTGCAGGCTCCACTATCGAAGGAAGTGAACGTCAGATACCTAAGAGTAGTTTCAGAAATCCTTTCGTGCGCATCATGAAACCATTCCTGCCATGTCCGTTCGAAATATTGCTGCGTTGTGTAGTGAACCAAGCGGATTGTCCCCCGTTCTCCGTCCACAATGACCAATCCTTTACATACACTGACAAGTAGCCCGATATCCGGGATGCTCAATCTGTCAAACTCAGTGTGTCTTTCCTTCACTGCTAGTGCATGCTGGAGCTCAGTCGCAAGGAGTAGTCTCCGACTACAGCAAATCCAGGATAGGACTTTCAAAGCGAGCTCGCGCAAGCCTTGCCGTTGGCCGTGAATGTTGTTCATGGCTTCCAGGTACGATTTATCGTATCCGTCGAAGCCTCTGGGTAGAGTCTTCAGTGTGTCCTTTATGTCCCTTATGGATATTTTATCTAGCAATGAGGTCAAGTGGAGCTTCGCTAGGAGAAACCTATTTACTCTCGTTAGCCTTCCAGACATCATGAGAGGGCTATACATTGCCCACCTACATTCCGTCAATGGCCTCAATAATGCCTGTCTTGATTTCATCCTCCAGCCCCGGGGTCTCGGACACAAAGGCGGGTAACTCCCCAATATGCGAGCCTAAGTACTGCACAACATCCTCTTCTGCCGCCCTGATATCGATCATTATACTTTCCTTGAACTCACCTGCAATCTCCGGGACAAAACGAGAGGTGGCAAATAGGTTAATTCCAGTTTTTCCTTGAAGAGCAAAGAGTTCTCTGACTAGCTGCTTCGGGGGACTTTCAGAAGCAAGCAATTCGTCGAGAGCGTCAACCACGATGAAGACCCTTTCAAAACGGCCGATTGTATCTTGTAGAACATCCACTATTTCACGAAAGCTCGGCCGGCTGCCAGTTCGTTGGTGGCGGTCGTACATACTCTTCACCATCTCGGGCGTGTATGATAGCTGTCGGACAAGCTGCCTCAGTAGGCTCAGAAAGATACAGCTGTGGGTTTGCTCGGCTTCATTCTGAACGCTACAGTAGATGCATGCAATCCCCACCGCAGGATTCACCTCAAACCGTGATCGAAGACGGTCCACTACCACTGCGGTCATAACCGTCTTCCCAGCACCGGGCATGCCTCTGCAATAGATAGTTTTGTTGCCTTCAGCCACCCATGTTTCGAAGCCAATAGTCCCCAGGAGCCATGTCCCAGTTCCCTCCTGTCGTTGGCGTAGAATATCGGTTTGTTCAGAGCCGTAGTCCTTTGGGGACAGCCATACAAGCAGCTCGTGTTCCTGGGCGGTACTTATTGATGAGTTGATTATGGATACACCGGTCTGGATATTCGATAACACATCCAATACTGTCACCATAGTCAGTCGGCACATTTTTCATTGCCTATATAAAGCTAAGGAGACTCTAAAGCAGCTAACCTTCTTTCAGTTCCACAGCCTTCGCCGCGCGAACCTCCTGCGGAAGAATCACACGAAGCAGATCTTTGGCATACGCAGCAGCCGTCACCGCCGCATAGGGCTGCCAGATATCGTTTTTGTGCGCGTCCGAGTAGTCACTGATTCCCCGGATCACCAAGCACGGGAAGTTGTCCATTAGCCCTGCAGCCTCCATCTCAAAACATGCCACATTCCAGGCCTTACGCATTTCATCACGATAGCGAGGATCCTTTATGACTGCGTTCCCTGACGCGATCAACCCATAGTGCACCACGGGCGCATCCGATTTTCTGGGTGCGCGGGTCTCTGTCGAATCGATGTTGCAGCGTGTACAGTCTTCTTCTCCTTCTTCGTGGTCATAATCCACTCGATATAGGCGGTCATTATCCCTGCCCGGATGTTGATAGGCTTCGAAGAGTTCTGATATCTCCGACAGCTGGCCGATACGGGCGATGTAGCGATTCATCTCTCCCCTACCGAAGGGATGATCTGACCGTAAGAGTTTCATTGCAGTCAGCAGAAACATCGGCGGTTTGTTCAGATGGGACCTCTTGTGAAGCTTCCCATCTGCTTTCCGCTGGCCCAAATCATAGTGCACCACTCCGCCTAATAGGGTCA